CACACTCACACAACGCACACGATGTCACACACACGCACGCACGCACGCACGCACGCACGCACGCACGCACGCACGCACGCACGCACGCACGCACGCACGCACACACACACACACACACAGATGCACTGACCACCCCCTACGTCAACGTTTAACACCACAATGTCCTCCTATATCCATCAACCCTTCCTCCCACCCCCCACCCACTTACTCATCCCGGTTCGAGAAGGGCACTTCCCACATCTCTCAGCAAGTTAAAGTTAAAGTTAAATCCTTCCCACGCCTATGTGGCAGTGCCTATCTCCGTTTCAGTAACCCTGAGGCCCCGCAGCTGCTTTCCCAGTATATGCTACAGTAGGGGGCTAGTCCACTGGTAGCACTGCGAGTTAATTGCCACACTCAGCGAGTGTGCACGTGGAACCTAGAGCAGCACTTACCCGTGTTCTCATCCACCCACTGTAGCGAGTCCATGTGCGCGTTCAGAATCTTCGTCACCTGACTCATCTAGACGATAAACGACAAGCAAACATCGATAAACAACCTCAACAATAAACAATAAAGAAGCGATAACTCAAAACTTCCCGCCTCACGTGCCGCCCCTCGCGTTTTTTCCAACGCAATTATTTTTTTGCGAGATTTTAAACGCAAGGCGAAGCAGGGGAGCGGTTCGTGGATGCGACACCAGGTGGAGCAGCTATCGTGCTAAGCATCACCATCTTAGAACGCGCACGTTCACCCGAGCCGTATCCACTCCTCTGTTTCTCACGTGTGAGTGAGCAGGGACAAACCCAAAAAACCCCTCGCGTACGAATTATCTTCTAAGCAGAAATAACATGCAACGCGAAAAACGCGGAAGTTTGGCTGAAAATGCCGAAGCTAATGAATACGCGAATCGTGCCCTCGGTGCCCGTCACTGGAATATTTCCTAAAGGTGCCACCAGATGGCGTAACTTACGGGGCTGTCCGTGTCCTGGTTGTCGTTGCTCGAGTTCAGGTGGTCAATGATCTCCTTCAGATCGCTGACCATCCGCTTCAGCTGACCGTCCGTGTTCTCCGCCAGCTGGTAACTGCAAGAGAGAGAACGAGAGAGAGAGAGTGAGAGAGAGAGAGAGAGAGAGAGAGGGACTGTGTGCCTTCTACCATAACACGAGCGAGCCGTATTGAATAAGCCGCAGAATCACCATTATCGAGCAAAACATTTGGAGAAAAGTGAATCATTGAGATTAAAACAAAAAAATACTAAAAAAAGCGAATTGAAACAACAATTTAGTGAAGCACGTATCGTAATATTAAAAAGAGGATTTAAAGTGATTACGTCACGAATTTCTAGCACCATCAAGTAGTATATTTGTGGGTGTTATTTGTACAAAAATAAAATGTATGAAAATACATGTAGGTGTTTCTGTTTACTTTTCAGAAATGCTCCTA